TGGCGGGGCCGCGGGCGGGGCGGAGCAGGGGCGCAGCCCCTCGCGCGGGAGCTGGAAGCTCACGATGGGCCGAGCGTATATACGACAGGTTCGCATCGTGCCGACTGCGGCGTCGCTTCCTGACGCCGTGTGGATCGTTCAACCTGGAACGATCGGCCGCTTCCGAAACGTTCGATCGTTCAACATCGATCGATTCTGGGTCGCCGGCGGCGTCCAGCGCTGAACGCTGGCGGCCGGGTCGCCGCAGGTCGACACGACGCGAACCTATGCCGTATCCATATCCGCGCGATTCCGGGGCGCGGTCCCGCGGATACGTGGTCGCACGGATAAATGCCGCGCGGGGCATCCGCGAAAAACTCGCCCCGTATCTGCGGGGTCGCGGCCCAAGGGCCCGTCCCGCGATGCCGCGGATACGGATACGTTTTTCGCTCACAAGCTCCAGACCCGTGAAAACGCAAAGAAGTTGCGACATAAAGGGTTTCGTAACTTCCGGCCTCTGGGAACCCTCGTCGGGCCGCGGGCCGTCAGAAAACGAATACGGATGGGAAACAAGCCCGCGGAGAAAGTGTCGAAACCTTTGGGGGCCCACTGTCTGTGAACAATACCGACGTCGGGTATCTGGGAATGGGGCGGTGCCGCAGAAACATGGCAGGCTGGGCAAACATTGCGGCATGAGCAGGACGATGGTGGTGGCGCCAGCATCTACAACAGTATCACATGTCAGTGGCCGAAGTTCGCAGCCCATGCCCTGTGGCGTCCAGCCAACTTTCACTGCTCCGTCTTAGTAAACACTTCCTCCCCAACTGGACCGACCACCGACAAGGAACATTGACCCCCCTTCATCCCGGTCAAACAACAACCCAAAACTCAACGTACCCGCGCAATCCGGATCCGGATCGTGAGCGGCGGGTGCCACACTTCTCCGCAGTGCACTGGCCCACTACCCCAATCGGAAGCTGGATTCTCATTGCTAACGGGCACACATGCCATACGTCATGCTGACCACCCCGCCAGCATTTTGCATTGGCTTGGCATAGTGGGAGTGTCGAGATATGCCCGATGTGTGCTGTCACCTGCACTGGCGCACGTGGCGCACCTGGCGCACCTGGCGCGGCTGGAGCATATGCACATTTGGCGCACGTGGAGCACGTGGCGAACCTGGCGCACCTGGTACAACCTATGCTGAGCCGCGGGTGCTTCGCAGATGGTGGGAGGGCGGGTGAGAGTGAGCGAGATAGCCTAATAAGGCTTCGAGGGCTTTCCCATGGCCAAGATGGACTGCCAGATGGCACAAGATAGCCCGAGTTGGAGTAAGAAAAGACGGCATTCAACATATTCCCAGAGACTCCAAGACTGCCAAAACACGGCTCCAGGTACCTAAAAAGCCTCCCAATCATGCCCCCCCCCGAGGCCAACATCCTTTCAACACATCCCAAGCATTTCACTTATTTCTACTCTCTCGCCTTTTCTCTTCCAAGTGGCTTCTGAAACTTCACAAGTCCTCCACGATCGCCGAATAGTCTGCTCAAAACCAGGAAGGTCTGCGCGAGGGCCCCAGAGGCTCCAAAGAGAGGACCCCAAGGAGAGCCCCAAGAGGGCCCTGACGGGCTTCCCGAAAGGCGGCCCCGAGAGAGCCACGAGAGTTACCTGAGCGGCCTCCAACAAGAACGGCAGCTCGCCGGAGCATCGTTGCTCGATGGGCTGGTTGGGATACGCGGGGCAAAAACAAGTTGCACCAATACCTCCTCCTCATCCTCCTGATCCTCCTCCTCTTTCTCGTGCCCCTCCTCCATGTTGCGCACCTGCTCCCCCTACCCCAAATTCCCCTCCTCCTCGTCCTCATTCTCGTCGTCCTCTTACTACCCTGCACCTGGCAACCTGGCAATATGATGTTGGGAATTTCTGGGCCGCCGCTCCTTTCAAACTTCAAAATTTCAGCCGCATTGAACTTGAACTCTGTAAGGGCGTTGGCCTGGAACTTCTTCTGAAGTTTCATGATTCCTGCAGGAGGGCCGATTGTGACCCCTCGGCCAAATACAACCCTGGTTCTGGTCCTCCCTCTGCTGGCATCCGATGCCAGGGCGAAACAAGTGTGGGGCGTTGCCAGACCTCGGCGTGCAGCCCCGCTGCGCTCCATCTCCGCACCCCTTCCGGTGCCCCGCACTCCAAAGACGGATGAGGAAGAGGGAGTAGGCTCGCAATTTTCTGGCGAGCTGACTGTCGCAGACCTCGTGCACAGATCCTCCCTGCTCAGGCCCAGGCAGTGCCCAGGGGGATCACCACTATAGGGGGTCGCCACCTCCTCGAGGAGAAAGGTCCATCAGGACACGCCAAGCCCAAGCCCGCCAGAGTTCAACCAGACGCTCAAAACCGTCCAAGACGACCTTGGCCCATGATCCGCGAACCTCAAGCCTGAGGAGGAGCTGGCCACCCGACCCCTTTGTTGTGACCCCCTTTGGCATTGCCTCACAGGCAGGGGGCTCGACGGCTCCGCGGCCCGACTTTCAGCGTGGACATTCGGCTACTTGGGGGGGCAGGCGCGTGGGCAACTCGGAGAAGAAACGCGGACGACCACCACCGAGAACCTATCAGTGGGGGGCCGGCCCCTGGGCGGCGGCACGACCGAGCGTCACGCCAACACGAGGCGACGCTCGGGCGTGCCACCGCCCAGGGGCCAGTCCCTCACCGATGGGCTCTCGGTGGCGGTGGTCCGTGTCCCTCCTCTGAGACTCGGCGGTGACCAGCCTTCTTCGAGGCCCACGCGCAGGCGGGCGCCGACCGACCGTGAGCACCACAACGCCGCCCCTGGCCAGGCCCAGCCTGTCCCCAGGAGCGGTCACACGCCCAGACCTGGGCCCAGGAGCGGGCTCCAGGACACTAAACCCGGGCCGGGGAGCGGGGCACGGGCCAAGCTGGGCGTAAGGCAAGTTTACGTCGCCATGACGTCGGCGCCAGTTGCCGCTATAGCCAATTCGGCGTCGATGCCGCTAGTCGATCGATCGGTCGATATGGCAGATCGATCGGTATCGCCCAATTCTGGGCCACTGGCGGCGTTCACCCCTCAGCGCCCAAGCTGGGGTGGCCGCCGCGTCGGCGCAGCGAGAGCCTGGGTCCTGGGATCAGGGTTCCCTGGCATCCGGCGACGCGAATATCGCAGCCTGACAAATCACGACCAAAACCCCCGACCCCAACTTTCTGCGGCATCTCTCGGGCCGAATCGATGTATGAGGGCCCGAGACACGGTGAGCCCAGTGCGAACAACAAAAACTGCGGCGGGCCGAACGGTCATTCACTGTCCCTGGGTGCGTGGCTGAAGTGGGACTCCGCGGCGCGGATTCTGCTTGGTGTTGCGTTGTTGCTGTTGGTGTTTGTGTTGGTGCTGTGGTTGTTGCTGCTGTTGTGATCGTTGTTGGTGTTGTTGTTGGTGTTTGTGTTGTTGGTGTTGTTGGTGTTGTTGTGGTTGTCTTGTTGTTGTTGATGTTGTTGCTGGTGTTGTCGATGTTGTTGTTGGGTTCTCTTCTCTATCGAACAATTCTTGCTGATCCCCCTTCTCCAGCAACAATTGTACATTCACTTCATGCTTCTCCTGGGGCTCGCACTCTGTTCTTCACTACAAGGAAACATGAGGTGTCACCAAACTGCGCCCCTGGCCCTTGGTTTACAACAACAACGACTCCCGCCGGATACTTCGTCACAACGTATTCTTAAATGGTGCTCGCGCGCGCGACTTCTTCACAATTTCTACAGGAACCGCGCTCTCGCATGGGACGCCCTCGCAGTTTGTTAAGACGCCACGCCCTCGACACTCAGGAATCACGCTCTCGCTGTGGATTTCCTCACAACCTATTTGGGAATCGCGCCATCGCTAGAGACTTCCTCGCGATTCATGCAGAACGCACGCTTCAGCAACCCGCCTGCTCGACCTGGCTGCCTGTGCCCGCCTCCCCAACCCGCCCGTTGGGGTCTACGCGCCCGATCTGCCCGTCTGGTTCTGCTACGTGTTTTCTGCTCCTAGCCCCCCATCCTGGTAATCCCTGTCGTGCTTCAGCCTCCTCCCTCCCCCTTGTCCCTTCCTTCCATCCGTCCACTCTTCCCCTGCCTTAGGGGCTGCACGAAGTACATGTTGCAGGTAAGAAAGATATGCCCCTGAAGGGGTACAGTCGAAGACGAAGAGGCGAGTATCGAGCGTTTGGGACATACGTGTTGAATTGCACGCGAGCAAAAAAGAGCGAACTGTTTTAAAATGAATGTTGCTTTTGTCGTCGTCCCCCCCCACCGCGACCCGGCCCTCGACCCACCCGCGACCCATCCGCGACACACCCGCAACCCACCCGCAACCCTCCCGCGGCCCACCCGCGACTCACCCACGACCCGCCCCCTGACCCACCCCGCGACCCATCCGCGGCTCCTCCGCGACCCACTCGCGACCCACCCGCGACCCACCCACGACCCACCCGCGACACGCCCGCGACCCACTGGCGACCCACCCGCGACCCACCCACATTGCTTCAACGAAAAAACGGACGCCTGCAGCGGAATTGTTGTATAACTTGTGAACGTTGAGTTTGCAGCGGGCTTCTCAGAAGCCTCGCAGACGTCCCCGTTCCCCCCTCACTCTTATCCGCAACTGCGGAGTGCGACGTATATGACGAATCATTTTCTGGCCAATTCTGCGGGGCGGCAGCTTTTTCAAAACATATTCACTGTACGTGAACCGTCAGTTCCCACTGAGCGATGGACAAACACGACATATCCCTGCTCAGAGTTCAAAACACTCTGGGCTTAGAAATCGGCGTTCACTCCAAGCGTTTTCTTGAACATTAGTCCAGGTCCAGTTGTATGAAAATCAACAGAAAAGGGAAGCTCCAAGAAAACGCCCAGGGCCCATCTCTGATTCTTTCTTTACCTGAGCGAAATCTGGAGTCCACGCAAGTTCCAGCTTTTTCTGATAATCTCTGCTGGGCGCGTGGACATGCTCCTGGCCCCGAAGACAACTCCAGGACCTTTCGATGCGGGTTGGCCTGGCCCGGGGCCAGCGCCCGAGCCGGCGCCCACCAGCACCTCCGGCTCGCCGATCGATCTGCCACATCGGCTGGCGGCTAGCCGCAACCGATGCCGACGTCATGGCGACGTGCACCTGCCGCACAACCCCCCTTGGGCCTGTGCCCCGCTCCGGGGCCCAGGCTCGATGTCCTGGTGATCGCTGCTGGGCAAACGCCCAAGGCGTATGCCTGCTCCTGAGGATGGGGTTGGCCTGGCCTGGGGCCAAGGCCCCAGCCGGAGCCGGCGCCCACCAGCACCTCGGGCTCGCCCACAAGAAAACACCGCGCCGCCTGGGCGCGCCGCCCTCAGGGCGACGAGGGCGGGAGGTCCGGGGCGCCTGGGGGCAGTCGCCCGAGCACCTCGGAGACCAGCTCGATGAAATCCACCTCGGTCCACGAGCGGCGAGCATATGTCGCCGCGCCGTGGGTCCTCGACGCGCCCAAATGGACGACGCCGAAACCGCGGCAAACCCACGGCAAGCCATCCATCCCGCGCCCCAAGGAGACGAGGCTACCACGCGGCAAACCCAAGGGAAAACCAACCGCGTCCGAGGCGGCGTCTGCCGTGGTGGCCGCGGCGCCCTCCCCAAGACGGAAGGCCGCAAGTCGGAACAAACGGCGCGGTGACATCTTCATATCCCAAGACCCCCTCAAGTCATGAGCCCCACCCCCCTCGAAAGCAACTTGGAACCCATCTGGGAAATCATGTCTCGGGTGAAGCACGCCTGCAATGGAATCGCGCAGACCGTGCATTCACTCCTGGCCGCATACGCGCGGCAAGCTTTCGATTATCTCTGACTGCGTCTCTGGCCCCTCCCTTGCTGAGCCCATCGCCCTTGTGACTGTGCGCCCTGCCGCGGCGACGAGGTCCCCCGACCCCACGACGGCGTTTGGCTGAAGACGAGCTGTTCTCAAATAAAGCGGGTATCGAACAACAGAAACCATTTGTTTTGAAACCGCTAGAACGGCTTTTTATATAACAAAAACTCACTCGTGTATTTACCATACAGAAACGAGGAGATGGCTTTGTTTGAAGTATTCGTCCCGAGAAGCGCATATGTCAAACAATCACATGCCTGTTGAGCCTCTCCTACATTTCCTCAGCAGACCCGTTGTTTCATTAAACAAAAAGCCCTCGTCGACCCTCGGCCGCGCGGCCCCGGGAAAGCCGTGCGCACAGCGGCGGTCATCGTATCCGACGACCGACTTGTTCGAGCTGCAGTGAGGCCCACTCGCAGCACCACCAGGGACTTGCGAAAGAAAACCCAGACACGGACAGGTAAACGCACAAGGTGCCTCCCATCTGAATCAAGAGACGACCTGGACATCAATTTGCCAAGACTGTTCTAGATTCTCGACGGCGGAGGCTCGGCCTCGAATCCGACTGGTGATTACAGACGACTCAGGATAAGAAACTGTACGAGACCTCTTGGAATCGACGTTCTGAAAAAATCATGACGTCGGGGTCTACGTCTGGTCCACGAGCGGCGAGCTTTGGTAAGGCTTCGGGTAGCGCGCAGACAGCCCATCCAGGTGGTCCTGGCTGGCATCACCCCTGGGGCGCTCCGCGCGCCAGGGTTGGGGTGTTGAGACCACCCCGGCCAGACTACTCGGAGAGCTGTTGAGGCCAGCTGAGACTACTCGGGGGCCTGCTGAGGCTAGCCAGGGCTGCTGAGTTTATGCGCAACCCGAAGCCTTGAAAACTAGCATATCTGTACCCGCGCCCTCGCGGTCTAGATTTTGGGGCGCGATGCCGTGGATACGAGGTCGCATGCGTACGTTCCGCGCGGGGCATCCGCGAACAAGCACACCTCATATCCATGGGGTCGCGGCCCAGGGGACCCCGGCCCGCGAAGCCGTGGATATGGATATGTGTCCCGCCCGCCACTGGTGGCGCACCAGAAGCGAGCGGACGAAGAACGGCATAACATTGCCGTTATACCGCGTTTCGTCCGCCCTTCCAAAAAAGTCATGCCAGGTGGGCGGCCTTCTGAGAAAGAAGGGCTTGACGCCTTTTGGTGGTCTAGGAAGACTTCTCGTAAGGGCAGGATGGCTTCCAGGAAGCCTCACCTGTGCTCATAGGTACAAAGCCGCCGCCTCATCGGGCCCCCAGATGCCAGGAACGGCGACGGCAGCTGCCGACTCGACTTTTTCAGAAGCGTGGAATGTCTGCGTCGGGTGCTGCCAGAGGCGACCCTGCCCCAAGATAGTCCCAGCTTTTCCAGGGCGGCCCAGGTAGCCAACAGAGCATCCCTCGCGAGGCCACTGGTGCCCCAAGGGAGTCCAGGATGGCGTGAAAAGCGACGGTGCCTTGGCCCTGCACCAAGAGCTTCGCCGTCTCTCGCTGTGCCACGCTGTGACTCGCTGTGGGTTCGCTCGTTTTCCCGGGGATTCGCTACCTCTGAGAGAAGGAGTCGTCATAAAAGCATGAGCCTTCGGAGGTCCGGGCGGGTTACTTCGATCGGCGCTGGACGCCCTTCCTGCACGCCAGGGTAGCGCTGACCCAAGAAATCCGCGCAAACCTCCGAAGGCAGGGAGCAGGCGAGTATGAATTCTCGACGCCGGCGCTGTTCGCAGAGGCAAGCGCGGGGAACCCGAGGCTTTGGGGCCCTTCTGGGGGCCCCGAATCGGCGGGCTCCCCCAAAGTACCGACGACTGCATCCCCCCATGTCGGAGCAGGGCGAGATCAGACAGCGGCTGCTCGAATCGGTCCCTGGACCCATCCAGGGGGCCAAACGCACCAAGTTTCCGAGCTGCATCCAACCGTGGTGACGAGGGAGGCCTCCGAAGGCCGACTACCGTTGTCCCCACTCGCCCCCCAAAGCGTGATTGCAGCCGGTCGAGATGTCGACCCACGCCCAAGTGTCTTCGCCGATCCTCCCTCTTCCGGCCCCTGCGCCGACCCGGCCACCTCTGGCTCCCCAGGGGGCGGCGCCGCCTCCCACGCCGCCTCCGCCCCGCCGCCCTCGAGGGGCCGGGCGCGGGAGAGGCCGCGCACATCCTCCGCGAGCGTGGCGGCGTCCCCGACGCCATCGTCGGCGAGCAGCTGGTGGACCTCCGGGTCCTGCAACAGGGCGCCGAGACGCGCGGCGGGCAGGCGGCCTTCTGCCCAGAGGCGGCGACGACGACGGCGACGACGACGACGACGACGACGACGACGACGGCGACGACGACGACGACGACGACGACGACGAGCGGCTCCCATTCGGCCGCGAGCGGCGCCCTTCGGCCACGAGCGGCTGCTCTTCGGGCCGCGATTGACGGCCTTCGGCCGCGAGTGGCGGCGACGGCGGCGACGACAACGAGGGCACCTATGAATCGAGTACGGGATCGCCTACAAAATTGATGCACCCCCAACTTCATTTTCCGCTTCGAATCTACGACGAATGCGTAGGTTGTTCGTAGATGTGCTGGGAATTCTGAGTATTTGTCCGTAGATTCGACGAGAAAAGCCACTGGGGTAACTCAATTGTGTGGTCGATCCCATACTCGAAACTACACCCTGGCCAAGCACGGCGGCAGTGCATGGATTCCTCTGGGGACGGCCTGTCGCCGTGACGTCCGAGCCCAGCACCATGCCCTGGCCCGTCGCGGCAAACCGTCGGTAGTGGTTCCACAGGTCCTCTTCCAGGATGTGCTCATGCCGGGCACAGACGGACTGCACAAGCGCGGTATAGTCGATGTACGATTCGCCCGGGTGTCGCAGCGCGCGGGAGAAGCCGATTCCTATTGTCTCGGAGACCTCCACGTGCCCGAGCTTGGCCAGGATGACCCGAAGCTCCGAAGCCGTCAGGAAGCCGCAGCGCCCCGTATCGGCTTCCGCGCACAGTTCGTGGAACGCCCGGGCGTCGGCGTGGCTCATCCTGGCCGCCAGGCTGTTCGCGGTGTAGGCCTCGATCAGCGACGTGCGGTAGAAGCGCCGCAGGTTCAGCGCGAACGAGGACAGCATGGACCCCGAGGGCGACGTGTCCGCCAGGCTCGAGATCCAGGTGTGCCCCAGCGCCTCGGCCACCGAGGGCCGCCTGCCCGGCGTGCCGCGCAGGCAGCGCTGCACGAAGTCCTTCGCCTCCTCTGCAGTGAGAGCAGCATAAACATAAACGATGTTGTTTCGAGCGGCCCCATATCAAGATCGCGAGGCGGCATCCCCAAGGGGCGCAGCCAAACCTTGTGCGTTTCGACAAGTAACCAACATTCCCTGACGAGTGAATGTTTTCCGTGCTCCGATAGCGTACCCTGGGGATCTATGGATCATGTAAATGGATGGGCCCTGAACGATATCGGACGTCGTCCGGGTAATGGCACGCGCGTGCTAAGAGAGAGGCGCGCGCACCGATGTTCCGCTGTGACGCCAGCTGAATGCTACCTTCACAATTGTCTTGACCCACACGCGCGCGACGGCACGCGTACATACATCTGCTTTACAAAGAAGCGGGGGGAGTGAAGGCAACAACTCCCCCGCCGAGGCGAGCCTGGGGCACTTTCACCACGCGTGCCAGCCTGCAGCACACCTCGCCAAGGGGCGCCAACCCCAAAGAGAGCTTTTACAGAGCCATCCGTGTAGCACCTACTCCTGCTGCAGAGGCGAAGGATGAATCGCTCGACGTTGCCCCAAATTTCATGAGACAGAGCCTGCTGGCGCCACCCGCCTCCCGGGGTCGCGCGTCGATCTCGTTCACCGCGGGCTGCCTTCCAAGCTTCGACCCGAACCCGCATGCCACGAGCTGCCATCTCTAGCCCCGCTCGGCTGCGCATGCCAACGGATCTCATCCCGCCGTTTACACCGTGATTTCCACGCTCCACCGTCACAGTCATTACGGTTCTGCCGCCAATTCTCGCTAATACTGTCGGCGCGAAAGTCGGTCCACCAACCGCTCGAATCGTCCCGCGCATTTCTGCCACCGCAGCCGCCTTCATTAGCCATGCCCCTGCCTGTTCCTCTGCCAAGGGTGAACGAAATGTGCCCCCCCTGGGCACGCTGCCCTCGGAAACCTTGGATGTTAAAAAAAGCTGCTTGGGACCTTCCCTAAGAGATCGAACGAACAGCCCCATCCTTTCCGTCATCGCCGAATACGACGTAGGTTAATAACGATTCGAGGGCAGCCTGCGCTTTGGCGGCCTCAATTCTGGCCTCGAGGGCCCCTGTTTGTTCCGCGCGGGATTTTACCCCTGCCAACAAGAACTCGAGGTTGGAGTCGGCCCTGCGGCGGTGGACTCTCTATCCTTGTCGCTTCTTTTGACGTTCCGCGGTCTCCGTTCCGTTGCGCTCGTTCTCGCCTTCGGTCTGAGAGCAGCATCCAATAGTAAGCGCTCTTGCACTTTTTATCGGCTGGCTGTTTCTTGCAACTTCTCAACTCGAGTCTTCATATCAAAATCGGGGAGAACGCGTTTCACGGGCGCTTGCCTTGGGAGCATTCGGCGGCGCGTTTCGAACTGGGGGTGGGCCCCCCGCGCCCCAACACTCGGCGCCGTGGATCAAAACCAGGGAGACCCCCCTCCCCCCCAAACCTACCCCCTCCCGACCCCCCCCATCCTTCCCAAGGGGGAGGGTTCAACCCCCCCCCCCCTTGGCGCTGGCACTGGCGCCGGCGCTGGCGGCCGCCAGCACCGCCGACGGCGGGGACGCAGCGACGATGACCAGAAGCAGCTCAAGGGGGAGGGGAGAGGGGTTCAACCCCCCCCCCTGGCGCCCGCCGGCGCTGGCGCCGGCGCGATTACCACCACTACCACCACCACCACCAGTACCACCACCACCACCACCGCCTCAACCCACCACGACCACCAGCAACCCACCACACAACCACCACCACCACCACCACAGCCACCTCCACCACCACAACCACCACCACCACCACTACAACTCACCATCACCACCACCGCCACCACAAAAACCCACCACCACTACCACCTCCACCACCACCACCACCACCACCACCACAATCTACCACACCACCACCACCACCGCCACAACCACCACCACTACCACCAGCACAACCCATCACCACCACAAACCACCACACCACCACCACCACCACCGCCACCACCATCACCACCAGCACCAACTTCACAAATCACCGCCACCACCACAACCCACCACCAACACCACCACACAAACCACCACCACACACCCACCAAACCACCACCACCACAACCCACCACCACCACCACCATCACCACCACAAACCGCCACCACACCACCACCAAACCACCACCACCACCACCACCACCACCACCACCACCACCACCACCACCACCACCACCACCACCACCACCACCACAACCACCACCACCACCAACCACCACACCCACCACCGCCACCACCACCACCACCGCCACCCACACCACAACCCACCACCACCGCCACCACCACCGTCCTCGTCGACGCTCCCCGCCGCCGCCGCCCGCCGACGCAGGCGCCAGCCCGAAGAGAGATGAGAAGGAAGGAGGAGGGGGGGGGTTCGAACCCCCCCCCTCCCCTCCGTCACGAGACGGGGGGAGGGGGGGTCGAACCACCCCCCCATCCATCCAGGGGGGGGGGGAGGTCCTGTTCCCACCCCCCTCCAAGCGACCACAGAACGCGCTCTTTCCAAAATTGCAACGCCTTCCGTTCTCGGCAGCATATCGCGCCTCCTGCGAAGACCTTCGAGGCTCTCCGTTCTCCCTCGCGGTTTTTGCGCGGGAGCTATTTTCCTCCTGGGCTCCGCGTTCTGCCCTAGTTTTCCCCTCGACCTTCTCATGTGCGCGCGGCGCGCCTGCTGGCTCCCGCGACGACACGGCCTTTGCAGCGCGCTCTGGTACACCCTGCGAAAGCAGCAGGCCGCATCTTTTGGCACAAGTGCCACTCCATCGGATTGCCTTGTGTCATGCCAATCGTGGCGCCTCCACTTGCAGAGGCGGTCTGCGCGTCGGCTGGCCGCGGCATTGCAGCAGTAGTAGAAGTCTGTGTTGCGTGGCTGGCACTCTGGACTTGGGGCAGCTGGGCCCTCAAAGACTTCCTTTTCTCTCCTCCGCACAGGCCTTCCCTTCTTATTCCTGTCTCATTGCGAGAAGTTCGTCCTGTTTGATTGCGAATGCATAGCCAGCCATGTTCCACCGCGACACCTAGCGACCACCGTCTCTACAGCTCGGGCGACCTCCTCAGCTTCCTTCATTTTACAAGTCAGTGCCTCTTGCTCTACCTCACTCAAGCAGCGTTCTGCGCTCAAGCGGGCTCCCACCTCATGGGCTTCTGCGACCTTCGCCCGATCTTCGGCGGCCTTCAGTCCAGCCCTCACCTGGCCCTCTTCATTCAGTCCGTTGTCACAAGACTTCATCTGGCGGACCTGTCCTTCAAGTCGCTGCCGAATCTGGGCTGTGGCCATGGCTGCCTCCTGTAGTTGAGTAGCTGCTGGCACGGTTTGTCTCATCATGTGCCTATTGCGTCCTGTGTGCTCGATACAGGTGGCGCGTCACAAGTGGATGTGTGTTTTTCGGGCACCCGAATATTATTTACCATGCTCTCCCACGCAGCAATGTTCAGCGCAAAAGGGGCCGCTGACTGTAGAATTCCAACGTCCTTCTGCGACGGACATCAGACACACATGGTAGACGCACCTTTTCCGGCGGACGTCAGACACACATGGTAGACGCACCAGACCTGGCCACAGACGCCACCCTCTTGGCCCTTCCCCGTACCGAGGAACACCTGTCACTCCCTGACCATCTCCCTGTCTCAGAACTTTGCGCCAAGGTGCGCGACAGCTCCTGGTCATACTTCTTTCATCTTACGTGGGTCGAGGGCGAGTCTGATCTCGCGCCACGTGGATCCCCCGCGTTCTGAGGTCTGCCTCGGTCAGCGACGCTGACTGGAAGCGACGCGGGACCGACGGCAAAGTAACAGTGACCCGCGTTTTGTCTGGGAAGTTCACTGGGAAGTTGCACGGGACAGGCGGCAGACCCACCGTGGCCAGCGCAGTGTCTGGGAAATCCGACGGGCGCAATATCTTCAACATCCACCGCGACAACTTCGGGTCGAAGCTTCCGAGATGGGACGAGCCGAATCTTCCTCGCTCCGACCTGGTCGTCGAACTCTGGCTCTACTTCCCTCACCCTTCCCGAATGGAAGAAACTCGACCCTGAGTTGTCCTGTCCCGCACCTGCGCTTGGAACGTGATCCTCGCACTTGTGCAGGTCAGGCATGACGCTCTCGACTGCGTCGGGGATCGTTTCTTGTCGGCTCTGGGCCGTCACCAACGACTCGGGCGTGCCAGGTGAAGGACCTTTTGCGCGCCATCCTCGCCCCTTTCGGCAGAATCGACGAAACAGGCGCCAGAGGCACCGTGACGCGCTGGCTCAGTCTCAGAACCATCGGAACGAACCACGACGACTTAGGACACCGCAGCCTTGATCTCAGCATCATAGGGATCTGGGAGTTCCGTCCCATGTGCAACTACGTACGTTCCAGGCGGGGCAATCATGCCGTCTGCTGACGACAAAACCACCTTCCGCACTTACGACTTACACCTCTGCTCTGGCACGCTTCTTGCTAGGCTCCCCAGGCATTGATCGGGAGATGGTTGATCATTCCGATTGTAACTTTGATTGCCGAAGAGACCCTCCTCCTCCAATGGAAGCACTATAGAATCCATGGATCTCCTGTCTGGGAGGAGTGGACATATCATATGTTTCAGCGCCCTCCCTCGGGGTCTGCCTGACGATATTACCTGGCGGTTCGTCTTGCTTCGCAATCTCACCAGGAACGCTTCTGACGTTCGAGGAACTGCTCTGGTTGAATCCTGTTGTGGTCACAGTGACAAGCTGCGTCAACTCCCTTATCCATCATTCTTTCGGCGAATCTTCCTTTCGCCAGAAAGACAAATTCCCTGACGAACGCTTGTATCCCTTGCTCCGATCTCTTGACCCTGGGGATCCCTCCGTTAGCATATGTTAGATGGATGGGCCGACATAGCTCCAATGTTCCACTAAGCAAGCACAATACATGATAATGATACGCGCGCGCGCGCTAGAGAGAGGCGCGCGTTCCCGATCAGGCTAAGACGCCAGCTGCGTCCTATCCTTACTATTGTCTTGAGTCCAACGCGTGCAGCGGCACGGATGTATAAGCTCGAAAGAGAAGCCGAGGGAACGAACGTTACGACTCTGCGGGCCTGCTGGTCACAATATGCAGGGTGTGCGAGGCGTGCCGGGGGGGTCTATGAATCTGAACACCTCAGCGTGTCGGCTGGAGACAAATTCGATTTTAGAAGATCCGCGATATTGTAATGGATCTGCGCTGCCCCCCCCCCTGGCGGCGCCCTTTGCAAGGTCCGCGCGCCAGGGGGGCGTCCACCGCCGTTCCGACAAATCCGCGCAAACCTTCGACAGTTCATGCTGATGTATGCCAAGTTGTTTCTTCCTCTGTCCTCGGAGATTTTGGACCAGAACGGGGGGTCGAAAGAGAAATCGACCTTCGGGAGAAAGGCAAAATGGGCCCGAAGGAAACGGTTCCTGGACCTAGGGGCTTTCGCCCAGAGCCGATGTCTGACTGTCCTGGGGCCCATGGAGGGCCCCTGGAACCAGAAAGCGGCGCAAGACCTCAGTGGACAAGCGCGTTCCACTACTCGCAAAGTAACGAGTCGCAAATGGCCTGGATGCGCCGCGAGGGATTACGATCCATTGCGTTGAGGAAGACAAATGTTTTGTACTGTGGACCTTTGCGAGTAGGCACGTAGCGCGTAATGGAAGCCGCTCGGTGACTCAGGACCCGTTTCCACCAGGATCTGGTTGCTTCATGGCGAGGGCGAGTTGAGGCAACGGCAACTCAAAATCAATCCCTGGACCCCTCGCAGGTCGTTGAAGACCGAACGACTTCTGCCGTCCGTCGACTCGCGCTGGACTGGCCACGATTTACATAGATGTATCTCGATGTATTTGCAGTTACCTCTGGCTCGATCTCCACAAGTCGATTGGCGAACAGTCGTCAAGCGGGCCTAGACGCACCAGTTTCCCAAGCTGCGTCCAGCCTTGACGAGGGCCCCCCCCGAAGGTCGACCGCCTCTGCCTCAATCCGCCCTCCTCTGAGACCTTGCCCACCCGCGCCAGGATGGCGTGGCGGCAGGGCGCGAAGAACGGGGGGTACCCGCAGAGCAGCAGGAACGCGATGGCCCCGACGCTCCACGTGTCGGCCGCCTCCAGGGAGCTCTGCAGCCTGCTATCCTCGCTGTGCTCCAGGTGGGCGTCGATGGCTTCCGAGAGCAGGTCGGGGTCCAGGGCCCCCCAGGCGCTTGCGCCCACCTGGGGGGGAAGGGTCTAAGACAAACAGAGTCGAGACAAAATCGAACCGACATAAAGCGGACTTCTCTGCGAATCGGCGGGTTCGGGGTATGTATCAGGCGCCGCGGCCGTCTCGGAGCGTTCCAAAACGCTTCGAGAGCGTTCCAGAACGCTCTGGACCACATAATCATCGATTCCATCCGCCTTCGAAGATCATCGGGCGGGCATGGCTCCCCGAGATCCCGGCGCTAAATTTGTTCACGCGCGGCGTTTTCGCCCGGGGTTTCGGGCCCCGGTGACGATCTAGAGATCTGATTCTTCATCCGTGCATTCGTTCAGACTCTATGTGCGCGTACGCAGCCGTCTGTGCTCTCAGGCGCAATGGTTGTTCCCCCAAAAAAGAATGACATCACATCAATATCTTCCGTGGCTCCACATTGGTAGTGTGGAGCGTGTTTCTTCTCGCTGCGCAGGCTGCGCAGCTCGGCGTCCACAAACCTAGCGGCTTCGTGAACGCCGCCGGCATCAATTTCAGATCGCTGCAGCCCCATCGCGGCCATGGCCGACCCAAAGACTCGGAATCGTGCGGCCATGCGCTTCTCGGGCGAGAAGCCAGAAGAGTACAGGGCATGGATCAAGTCTAAGAAGATCGACGAGGAATATCGAGGCTTAGCCCTGGTGACTCTCCTGCCCGGCGCAGCTTTCAAGGCCATCCAGGACGTCGGAGACGACCAGATTGGTGCATCAATATGTGAATGACCGCCTTGACGTGCAAGCTCTGCTTTTACTTGCTGTTTGTCTCGATCGGAATCCAAGCGTGACTCTGATGGTCAACTCGACCTTGACACGTGGTTGCTCACGTCGGTGAAAAGTGCGACGAATGCTTCTACTCGAGGAGGGCGCTACACCGATGGCTTCTACGTGTCTGCCTTAGCCTATGGCTCAAGGACGAGCAGGGCCACTTGTATTTTTGCTTGCTCCGCTCACCCCAGCACTCAGCGTTATGGTGCATGTCGTGGCCTGCGGCAACCATGATGCCTGCCAGCAATTTGTCAACACGTTGGGACGTATGACCGAATATTGAAAGGTGAACCGCAATAAATCGCCCAGCAAGGGCCGCATCAACGCCAGCATCGCTCCCGGCCCTAAGCACGACAACCGGTATCACCTACACCCCTACTGCGAAGCGTATGCTGATCACCGCCGCTGCCGTTATCATCGGCGCTGCCGAGACCATCGAGGGACCGTGTTCAACGAAGCCCCCATTACCGCCTCTCACGCTCTGAAGGAGACGATGGATCATGAGTATTTTGTCCCGTCGTGTCCTGAGGAGGCGCTCGAGCAGACCGCCAAGCAGGAAGGCATCAAGGGTGCCAGCAGCAGTGCGATTGTGTATTCCATCATTCCGGACTGTGCGGCGCATGGCCTTTTCTCTGAGCAGGAGGTGATCATGGGAGAGATCCTTCAGGATGCCCGTATGAAACTATCTGAGCATCCGGCTCCCTACAACCGTCTCAGGGCCCTCACAGTCAAGGATTTCTCGACAACGATCGAGGACGGCATCGAGACTCGTCCCCTGGAAATTCGGGCCAATGACGCTACCATGACAGACGGGCAGGCACTGAAGGACTTCCAGCTGAGTGGCCGACGCCACCCCCGGTGAGCGTGAGTGTCTTGCGCGTGTGCTTTCTTTGTGTACGGTGCTGTCCCCTCTCGTGAATGACGACCTGGTAGGCCACTTCTACCTGATGATCGTCACTTGGCTTCTGGGGAGGCCATCCCGCTCTCCTCTCCTCTTCCACCCTCCTTGACCAACATATGTTTGTGAGTGTTGCTTCGAAGGACGAGATCCTGGGATGTCCTGTATCGGAGCCGAGTCTTCACGAACATTAGTTCAAGGAGAGACGATCTAGAGATCGTATTCACTGTCCGTGCATTCGTTCAGACTCTGTGCGTGTACGCAGCCTTATGTGCTCTCAGGGGCAGTTCATGTTCCCAGTAAAGAACGAGTCACACCACAACAATTTCGTCTGTGGCTCCACACCCAGGGCCATCACGGATCGATCGGGCCGGAAAATATGGCAAAAAGAGTAGGTCTGTAGGGCTCCAGTGGTGATGTTTCGCGATGCCGCAACTTTACGCCACGTCGGATCTGCGGATCAAGGATGGACACATCTTGGAATCGGCGGCAGGCGCCGCATACTCCCGGGCGGGAGAGGTGGCTCAGGCCCCGATCGGCGAGAAGTGGGCGATTGGGGATCGATGTTGCCCCTCCCTGGGCCAGTCCCTGGCCACCTCCTTCCGCGGCGGCAGGTTCGAGGCGCGCCGGCTCTGCAGCGGCCTCACCACCTCTGGCGCGCAGAATACCAGGCGGCAGGTCTCGAACAGCTGCGTGCAGTTGGTGCGGCGCCCTCCGTCGTGGGGGCCGGAGCCTGCCCTGCCCATGGCGTCCCAGAGCTGCACCTTCAGGTCAAGCCCGAAGTCCACGAGCTTCAGAGGCGCGTGGATGTGCTCGCTTTGGAACTTGAAAGAATCCGGAGTCGGGTGGCCATGCGAGAGGCCCGCACGGTGCAGCGAGTCCAGGGACTGCAGCATGTGGCGCACCAGCATCGCGGACTCCTGCTCCGCGAAGTACTGCCGCTGCAGAATCCGGTCGTAGACGTTGCCCCCGGAGCAGCCTTCCGTTATCAGGCTCACCGCGCGGCAGTCCTCGACGACGACGACGACGACCATGACCACGACGACGACGATGACGACGACGACCACGACCACGACCACGACAAGGACGAGGACCGACGTCCTCCAGAGGCCAACAGCTCGAACCTCGATCCCCTAGTCAAGCGCCGATCCCCAGATCCCTCCAGGGGCGTGCGCGAGAGATATTTCCAGCTGTGGGATCCAGCGGTCGTGACGCGAGCGACCCCTCCAGGCGGAATAGCGCCTCCCTGTGGTAGAGCTTCAACCCTCGCCGCACGGCAGTCCTCGAAAACGTCGAGGACCCGCGCGACGCCCTCACTCCGGACCGCCTGCCGCGGCAGCGGGCGACGCCTTCCGTCGCTGTTGCCGCCGCCGCCGTCGCCGTAGTCGCCACCGCCGCCGCCATCGCCGTTGCCGCCGCCGTCCGTCGCCGCCAAGGCCGTCGTCGTCGTCGTCGTCGTCGTCGTCGTCGTCGTCGTCGTCGTCACCGTCGCCGTCGCCGTCGTCGTCGTCGTCGTTGCCGTCGCCGTCGCCGTCATCCGCCGCCGTCCGTCGCCACCACAGTCTGTCTCCGTCGTCGTCGCCGTGTCGTCGCCGTGGTCGTCGCCGTCGTCCGTCGCCGCCGACGTTTAGCGCTGCCGCCGTCTGTCGACTCCACCGTCCGTTGTCGCCGCCGTCCGACCAAAACCCGCTCAAAGGCAGCCCCGGGACCCGACCAGGGATCTGTCCATGGCCAGCTGATGTTCGCCCAGGACAGAGATGATCTCGAACGCCTTTGGGCCCGAAGCAGGCTTCAGTACGCCGAAACCGAGAGGAAACCTCAGGCCGACGTCGTTGCCGACGTCGTCGCCGCCATGGCCGTCTCGGCCGCCGCCACCGCGGCCTCCGCGGCCGCCGCTGGCTATCGCCGTGGCCGCGGCCGCCGCCGTGGCCGCCGCGGCGGCGATGGCGTCGACGGCGGCGGCGGCGACGTCGCCGCCGCCGCCCACGGCCGAGTGCCTGCAGGCGGCGGACCACGCCGCGCAGCCGCTCCTGATACTCGGCGCCGCCTGGCTTGCGCACGGCGAGCAGGCGGCGTACGGCGCCGGTGGCGCGGTGCACGGCCACGTACGCGTTGGGGTCCTGCAGGGCGGGCTCCTTGGCTCGGGGCGTACAAGAGGGGGGTTCGCAAACCATGGCCCGAGGCCAGTGCTCGGACGAAGGGAGGGCCCGGGCCAGGAGACGTCTTGGGAGAAGAAGGGAGGGCCATGAAATATGAGGAGATATCGTGGCCCACGCCATGAGATCCACACCCCCATCAGTGGCGCGGAAGCGACGACCCCAGACCTCCAAGGCATCGACAAACATTGCCAGGGCGTTTTTGTTAGCAATATTCGGGACCCGGCGCCGTCAAACAACAACTGAGGATGGAAATCCGGTCCTGAAATCCGGTCCTGGAGAAAGGGTCGGGACCTCAGGGAACACAATTCTGAACAAGTCAAGACACTGACATCGAATCTCGACGGCCACAATGGGCTGTTCGCGACTGCTCCCGTAGGGTAAAGCTTCCGATGTCGAGCGATTCTGGGCCACTGGCGGCGTGCAATCTTGAACGCCCCGCGGGAGTCGCCGCCGCATCGATGCAGCGGGAACCGACAATAGATGTTGTGCGTTTCTCGTAACATGTGGGCCTCCAGAAAGCCTGTAGCTGCCACGGCTGAATTCCGCTCCAGATCATTGCGCATCACCCCCAGAGATATCCAAGGACGCGCTTCGGTCCTGCAAAGCAGGCTCTTGCTCGGAAACTGCCAGTGGCCAGGGCCCAAGAAATCGCCAGCCTGACCTGTGGAGGCCCACACGGCACCCGGAGCACCCCTCACGAGGGCTGCAGGGCCCAAGGGGCACCAAAATGGGGCGAAGAGCATCTCTGGCGCAGGATCACCTCGGGCAGCCGCCGACTTACAGGGGTGCGGGGAGGACGACAAAGGCGGCTGGCTCCTTGTGAAAAACAAGAAAGGAGAATGGGACTGACGCAAGAGTCGATCCTGCCACCCCCAGAACGCTCTCAGCACGGCGCAACTGCTAGAAAACACGTCCGAGGCTGGAACACAGCCGAGAGCCGTGACGGAAGCGCCCGACCACCTCAACCTCGAACCCCTGCCGCCCAGCCCGATCATCCTCCTCCTCCTCCGCCTCCTCCTCCTCCTCCTCTTCTTCCTCCTCCTCCTCCTCCTCCTCCTCCTCTTGGAGCCTCCTTCCCCTCCTCCTCCTCGACCCCACTCTCGTCCGATCCGACCTTTGCGCGCCGCAGATCCTTCACGTCGAAGAGGTTGGGGATCTGCGCCGTCGACTCATACGAACGGTGGTCCGGATTTGCCGTCTGCCTCGACGGGGACTCCAGGACATCTTCCTCGGGGGAGCGAAACACAGTATGAACGACACGCCGCTGTGGGGGACGCATCGGCGCCAGGCCTGCGGACAAATCCGAAGAAGTACATGACACGCGGGCCCTCAACGGTGGCGTGCCCTTGATGCTCGCCGTGGGGGACGCATCAGCGTGTTACTCATGAGGAGACGCCAAGTCTTCGGCTAAACGCGAAATAATAACGCGCAGACGTTGGAAGCAACTGGGGGGTCTGAACTGGTTGGGGCACTAGAAAGATCGGCAAGGAGGGGGGGAACTCGGAGGGGGTTGAGGCCACGTCCGCTCAAAATCCGTCACTGGACCCCTCCAGGAATCCATCTGGTGCAGTTTTTGCCCCCAGATCCGTTTTTGACAGCCCCTGGGCCCGAAAGCAACCCGCAGAAACCGACAAAGGGAAACAACCCTCCCGAGCCGGGAACCTCGAACCTGCCCGCCCTTCCTGCTGGCCAGAACCCATGCTGGGCCACCTCAGACCCCCAGACGGCTCCAAGCCCCAACGGCGGCTTGCCAATGATTCTCTCATGGTTGCACGGTTGTACATCTGTGTCCCGAGTCCACTCTAGGAGCAGGAAAACACAACGCATATGGAGAGGGACACTGGGGAAGCACCAGGGAGAAGAAGGAAGGCCGACAGGAGGGAAGAAAAGAGGGAAGAGGGTCCCTCCCGGGTCCTGGTCCGCGCCGTAGCTGCGGTAGTGCCTGAAGTCCTCCTTTCGGGGGGGGGGGGGGGGCGTCGGTCGACCACCAACTCACCGATCCTGGCAGGGCCCACCCCGAGGTCCGATCAGTCGAGGCCCTCCCAGAAGAGGGTATGGGCGGATCTCCTCGAGCAGCCAGGAGTAAGACGAAGCCAGGACGAGGACACATTCGGGAGAGGAAAGATCGAGAACCTCGAAGATCCAGCGGCTCTGGAGGATGTCTCGGGCGCCGCGGCCCTCTCAGAGCGTCCCGGAACGGTCTGAGAGCGTTGAGGAACGCTCTGGAACGGACGCACCCTCGTCCTAGCCCCGCCAACTGAAGAAGAAAGAGTGGCAGAAACATCAACTTCCTGGATCGGCGCTGGCCCCCCCTGGCGGCGCCTCATCCGCGCGGAGCTCCACCAGTGCATGCTTACAGTCGGACTTGGTTGGCCAGGACACGCGAGAGCACACAATACCCTTCCGACGGCTACACTGCCATAGGAATGTAGCAGGCATGGGTCGCGAGACACAGGACACAAAGATACCCTTGATTTGGCAGGGTCGACCTACCAATCAAGGCCGACTGTATGCCGCTCCCTCCCCTCCGATCCCGGGGCCTCTTGTCCGGGAGGGCCTCCGAGAATCTCCCTGCTCCTCAGCCGCCCCCGCGTCGCCCTTCCGCCCACGCGGTCCGCGCCTGTACAGCGCCTCCGTGCCCTGCGCGAGCTGCAATCCACGCAGCCCGGCCAGCGAAGGGACAAAGGAGGGAAGGAGGAAGACGAACGAACGCAACGGCGAGAAAGAATGGAGGAGGAAGGAAGGGGAGTAGGAAGGATGGGATGAGATGAGATGAGACGGCTCCCAGGGACGTCCAGGGAGGAAGGGGCCAGCCCGATACAAAATTGGGGGGGGACACCATCGAAAAAGAATTTGCGACGGGTGCGCGCCACCCAACTGGGGCCTCCGACGGGCCTCTTCACGAGCTCGGACTCGCTCGTGGAAGCGGGCCAATCGAGCTTCATACGGGACAACGCTGTCCACCGCGCAACTGGCACTGCTGGCGACGGTGGTCCTGGACACAACGTCCAGAGCGGACGCGACCGACACGCCGACACGAGGGGCGGGGATGACCCGGTCAATCAACAGACGGATACGCGGGTTGGGATCAAACCCCCGCCGGAAACGGGACAAAATCATTTCTCCTGTGCGTGTCGGGGGGGCACAGGCTCTGGCCAGCTTGATGGCTTTCTCCTGACTCCACACCCCGCACTTCACGCACAGCAGTGACCCACGCCTAGCCTCCTCGCTCTCGGAACTGCAGTGCACGGCACGCAAGGGAGTGAGGCGCGAGCCCGACACGGCAACCAGCTGGTGCCCGAGAGGGTCTCTCGTGAGGGGCTTCAGGAACGACGGGGTCCCAGGACAATCATTCATCGGTAGATTGCGGCACGAGGGCGCAACCTTGAAACAAAAAAACACATTGCCAGCTTAGTTCGCTCCACCCCCGAGGGTGCCACCCCTCCCCCCGATTGTTAGTTTTGCGTCTCAGCACCGCGGGCCGACGCCAGCGCTGGGGGCTGTCCTCGAAGAAACATGGGAGGACAGCGCCAGCTAGAGCAACAAAATCGGCAGTCCGACTCCTCGCGAGGTCGAACGGCGCCAACAACTCAGGCGCAGGGGAGGGGTGGAGACTAGAGGCTAGCTCGGCGTGATGATCGGCGGTCCTGTTGGCCTCCGCCCAATGACGCTTCTCGGCGCCGAGACTCTCGATCTGCTCCTGCGATCGATGAACCTTCACGTGACGAACTGAAGCGAAACGGTGCCCCCCGAGGCCCAGACCGAATTTGAGGACACCTGCAGCCTGGTTGGACGCACGCAGCTGATTGGACACAGGCTGCTGGAAACGGCGGATCGCCGAAACGCAGTCACTGCCAGCCAGGGTCTCGCGGTCGGCGACTAGACCAATCAAGCAGAGAGCAACGCCCTCGGCGATGCTAGACGCCAGAGGGAGGTATCCAGCCACAGGGCCGCGCATCATCGCGACGGGCACATCTGATGCAGGGGAACGAACGGCATTTGACCCGGATGCACGCTCCAGCTCAAGCAACCCTGGTCGCGTGCACGATCCATCAGGAGCGACATCAAGTCGCGGCGCTTGGACGAGCAATGCAATACTTTCTACCTTCGCGTCAAAAGCCTCCCCTTGGGGGCCTTCGAGGACAACCTGGCCCGTGCAGGAAGGGGGCAGCACATCTTTTTCATCGTGCACAAAGACTCCTTGCACAACGATTGGGTCATCAGACTCGAGGCCAGCCTGCAAAAACGGCGCGCTGACCTTGGACCCGGCACGAGTGGCAACTACCTCAGGCAAGGTGCACTCGTACAACAAGGGCTTGAGTGTCAGCCTCTGACCGCGCGCACAGAGACCGTCGCAGAGGTAGCCGGCAGCCTGGGCGCGGGCTATGTCCCAGACTCCGCGGCATGAGCAGCCCCCGATCAGAACTTCGCGGGGCCAGAAAAGCGACGCGACCAAGCCCCGAGGGCATGCCGAACGAAATCGCGCGAGGCCCTGGATCCTTGTGGGGCTCCCAGCTGCGCGGCTAAGGAAAGCTCGCGTTGCCTCTGAATTCCTGCTGACATGAGGACAGGCGGCATGCTAGGGGGCGCGCGGCTGACATCGATGGTGGAAACCCATGTGGCCCAACCATCTAGTTGCAGAGAGCGCGCTCCGCCCAGCACGGCGCACAGTGAGGGCAGCGCGAGAAAGCGGCCCGCGACTTGAAGGCCAGTCCTTGGCCTCACAGGGCTTGGCGGCACGCGGAAGCCGAAGCAGCCGCGCGCGAGTGGCCAGCGGGAAGTCGCATACCTCAGCCTGCCACAGCGCCCTGCACCACTGGATCGCGGGCACGATGGCTGACGCTCCTGCCCCATCGCCAAGCGGCGCGGTTTTGCTGGCGAGGCTCACGCCGCGATGCACATGGAGCTGGTCTCGCGCCACGCCCCGACGGCGCTGGAGCCGCTCCGATTCGCTGAGGGCGACGACCTCGCTTCCGTAGGTGGCCTCGGACATGGCGCCAGCGCGGGCGACTGCGCCGATGGACGTGGCCTCGTGGCCAGTGATGACCTGGCCGAAGCGCTTGGGCTTCCGCATGCGCTTCGCCGTGTGCTGGCGACGCTTTGCCCGCTGGGCGAGCACGCCCGTCGCCCTGCGGCAGCTGCCCTCGCTGACGTCGGCCCCAGCGTAGACAGCATTGCGTCGGGCAGCTAAAGCTGGGGGCCCGAGCGCGTTCATTATGCCCTGCGCGCGAGAGAGAGAGAGAGAGAGAGAAGAGAGAAAGGAGAGAGAGAGAGAGAGAGAGAGAGAGAGAGAGAGAGAGAGAGAGAGAGAGAGAACAAAGAGAGAGAGAGAGAGAGAGAGAGAGAGAGAGGCACCTGCAATCGCAAGCTTTCCGTTGACAACCGCATCGGGCCCATCGACAGCACGCTCGAAGCCAACCATTGCCGCCACCATCGTGGAGGAGGTGGTGCGGCAGCCGCGCGAATGGAATTGTCATCTACGCAGCTGGCGAAGTGCATGCGCGGCTGCCTGACCAGACAGCTATCGCACTCACGACCAGACCAAACTTTGGCAGCAACATCGCAGAAAACGTCACCCGCAGGGAGACCACAAGATGCACAATGCGGCTCGCCCGCTTGTTGACAGTGGTAGTAGAAGAGAACAACTGAGCGACGGCACGAATATCTCTGGCAGCTGTCCTCTGCAGCGAAGAACGGTCAGGAATTCACGCTGGCACAGGACGCGAACTAAACCTCATGCCGCGCTACGTCGCCAACATGAGCAGAAGGCCCGCGAGCGGCGCCGACAACCGCAGGCTGCACTACACAGCAGAACTTGGTAGTGCGGCGGAGGACTCGCGCGCCCCTCGAGACAGCCACGGCGCGCCAGTCCTTCCACTTCTGGTGGTCCTCCTTGGAGGCGCCACTCGATGCGAGCTCGACGTCAGGCTCGATGCCGTCCAAGAACTCGCGGCAGGTCTTCTCGCTGAGACCAGCCTGCACCAGGGCGCACGGCTCCTGCGCGGAGCGGTCGAGCCGCGTCGAAAGGCCAAGCCCGTGGTAGGCAGTCGTGGCGAACGTGAGGACCTCTTCTGCATGCCGGGCCATGTCCTGAGGGGAGGGGCTGGTAGGCCGCTCGAGAGCACCGGGACACGACAAAGAGTTTTGAAACCACTGCCAGCCCCCGGAGACCGCCTGCAAGTCCGACTGATCTTTGATAATGTAACGGGTATCGATCCATCTGGGCCGAAGCGGCCGCCGTGCAAAGGCTAGGGCATTGCAGTCCGCATGGCCGACTGCGGCCGCGATGGGCTCAGCAGCTCGCACTGCTAGGTGGCCCCAGGCAGAAGACAAAAAGACCCCATCCAACACCGGGGGCGACACTCTCATCGGCACGTGCCGTCGCCGCAGCCTCAGCAACACATAGCACAACATCCCAAGGCGGCGACGGCAACTGCGGGCCGAATGACCTGCGTGCCCATCCTTGGCGCGACAGTGTATACAATTTTCTTGACATGTTCGGCGTCGCCTTTCAGTACTACTGGCGCTGAAACCAGTGGCCTCGCTGGGACCACTTGGCATCGCAGCTGACTCTGGAGTACATACTCACGGCCGCCGAGTTGAGGAAATAATCAATGACCGAGTTGCCAATGCCTCCTTTGAACGTAACATTGGTGGTACACACTGTAGAGCAACCGACATGAGCAGGAAACTGGCGGGCTTCAAGCTCCGCTGGCGGCATGTTCTAATCACCGCCAATGATGACGGGGCCGTCTAGGGGCTTAGCTGCCAGCCCAAGCTCCTGCAACATGCGACCATTGCGCCCACCTGCTCCCTTGGCCGCGACGAAGTAAACATTGAAACTGTGAAGCTCGCAATTCACGCCTGGTAGATCGATGGCGACGTGCTGAATCCTGCTTGAGACCACCTCGCGCACTCCAAGGACAGGGGGCCTGACGCCGAGGCTGTCGCGAACTGTGACCGCAACACCTGCCAGGGGGACCACGCCGACTGTGGGCAACCTAGGAAGCGCCATCACGCGCCACCCTCTGCCAGCACACCATGCGCCTAGGGCGTCGACGTGGTCGGCAACGTGCCCAAACTCCTGCAAGAGAACAACGCCAGCCGTAGTGCTGGTGAGCCCTCGCTTGACAGACGACTTGCCACCACTGGCGTTGTACGTCTCGATGCTGAAGTCAGTAGGTGGGGGCCTCGACCCAGGAGGAGGAGCACGACCATGGGCAGGCAGACCACACGAGTAAGGCCCGGCACCCTCTCCTCGTCGAGGCCCACGCTTGCGACAGTCATCGTCGGGAAACTCACCACCGCGAGCCTCAGCAGCAGCAACACATGGCAACGCTGAGCCCGGCAGCCGCAGTGGCACGCAAGGACTTTGCGATCTAACGCCCGAAGCATCCATGGAGCGGTCGCGTGGCTGTGCCTGCCTCGGGGGGGGGGGGGGGGGGCACAGTGTGCTCAGTGAACTGCCCCCCCCCCTAATGCTATCACGCCGCCCCTCATGGTGGTCGGACCCCGCCCACGCTACCCCTCCAGTAGCGGCGCGCTCCCCACGCCTCGCGCCAGCGGCAGCCCCCAGACGAGGGCTCGCGGCACTCGGCGGGCCCACGGGCATCACGACCTCCACATCCCTCATGGGTGTCGGCAGCCTGGCCACAGTCGACCTGGGAAGCCCCGATGAACGGGCCAGCTCCATGCCCGAGCACACCGAAGAGCGGGCCAGTGCTCGAGCAATGCTCGATAGGACCCCCGAGGAGCGGGCCAGGTCCGCGCTCGAGCTCCCCGAGGAGCGGGCCAGAGCTCGAGCGATACTCAGCGCGGCCCACGTGCCCGACCAGGTCAACATCTCCGTTCACGTCGCCAGGTCCCACGCTGAATCACCCAAGCCTGCAGCCCGCTCGGGTGAGTCTCCACCCCAGCGCACAGGGGCCGCCAGATCCACGTAGCCGCCGTCACAGTGCCATCCAGGTTGTCCGCCCCGCTCCACGCGGCCAGACTGAACTGGAGCTCGCGATTGATGGTTAGGGGCATGCCGTTTGATAGACACTGATCAGGTCGGCTTCAACGAGCGCGGCCTCCGCCACGCCCGTGCCAGGCCCATCACACGCCGCGGGACCCTCCATCCCCGCCTGACTGGGAGGGGAGACCTGGCCCCACGCTTCCCTAACACTCCTGCGGCTGCCGCCCACATCGACCATGGTGTCGGCAGCCTGCCCATAGTCGGCCTGGGGAGCCCCGATGAGCGGGCCAGCTCCCTGCCCGAACACACCGACAAGCGGGACAGTGCTCGAGCGATGCTCAGTAGGACCCCCGAGGAGCGGCCCAGGTCCGCGCTCGAGTTCCCCGAGGAGCAAGCCAGAGCTCGAGCAGTGCAGGAGGAAGAGGAGGAGGAGGAGGAGGAGGAGGAGGAGGAGGAGGAGGAGGAGGAGGAGAAGGGAGGAGGAGGAGGAAGGAGGAAAGCGAAACACACGCGACGGAATAAGACTTGGCTGAATACACTAGAAAGACACCGATCCTGGCCCCACTGGGGGCATCCAAACGTTCGAGGCGGGGATTGGCGCAGGTGGGGAGCATCGACCTGGAGCCGGCGATGCATCGCCGACAGATCGGCGACGGGCCCCCGAGGGCGAACCCGCGCCTTCCTGAGCGGGGGCGGACTACCGGGACCCTCTCGGCGATCCACGGGCGAGTGGAGGGTCGATGCGTCCGCCCCTGGGCGCCGTCCCCCCCCCCCCTGGTGCCCAGCGGCCGAGCGGGCAGGCGGGGAGGGGCCGAGCGGGCAGGGAGCAAGAGGGCAGGCAGGCGGAAAAGGAGGGGGGCAGAGAGCAGGAGGAGGAAGAGGAGGAGGAGGAGGAGGAGGAGGAGGAGGAGGAGGAGGAGGAGGAGGAGGAAATAGGAGGAGGAGGAGGAGGAGGAGGAGGAGGAGGAGGAGGAGGAGGAGGAGGAGGAGGAGGAGGAGGAGGAGGAGTGTAAAACCAAGAGGCATCAACGATGTTGGAACTAACACTGCCTTCAAGCTCACTCTTCATAGGCCCCCACAGCGGTTCATTTCCACTGAGGGAACTGCCTCGTTGGAACACAACCGTTTGAAGGTCCTGAAGCCTGCTAAAGCATGGTTCTCGGGTATTGAACGTCACGCATCAACCTGACTGCTGCGTCTTGACGATCCCGAATCGTGCCCGAGCGCGATTTTTAGGACTTCGGCACCGCGAATCAACCTAACTGTTGCGCCCGCATAATCCTGAACCCTTCCAAAACATTATCTCTGGTAAGCTGATCATGAGAATCCGTGAAGCTCTTGCAAATGTTTAAAAAGAATGTGCGCGGCGCTCGAGCGAAAACCACATTTTTAAAAGGAGCCGCCCTCAATCCGTGAAGCTCTTGCAAAGTTTTAAACCGAATGTGCGCGGCGCTCGAGCGAAAACCACATTTTGAAAAGGAGCCGCCCTCAATCCGTGAAGCTTTTGCAATCTTGTTTAACGAATGCGCGCGGCGCTGAGGCGAAAACGACATTTTCAAAACCACCCGCCCTCAATCCGTGAAGCTCCTGCAAATGTATAAAAAAACGAATGTGCGCGGCGCTGAGGCGAGAGCCACATTTTGAAAAGGCGACGCCCTCAATCCGTGAAGCTCTTACAAAGTTCGGAAACGAACGCGCGCGGCGCTAAGGCGAGAGCCACATTTTGAAAACGACCCGCCCTCCATCTGTGAAGCCGTTGTCACTTTTCGAGCTTCAGTCCTACTTGGCAAGGAAGTCTCAGGCGAAACGCCCGGCCCGCCCTGAAAACTGGCCTCGGGGTGCGACAGGGAAGGGGTTCTCTATAAGGTGTTTTTGTGTTTCTCTAGATGTGCTGCGTGCGCGGTGTTGGCAGCGTCTAGGGACGTGCATTGAACACAGAGGAGGAAGGGCGGCGCCGTGTGAAGATCCCCTGTGGCCCAAACGGAGGAGGAATGGAGGAAGGGGGAGGCGCCGCAGGAGGAGCCCCCGGAGCCCCCCGACGCTGCCCAGGGAGCCCGGGATCGGTGGGGCGGCCAGTTGACGCCCGCCGCTCCTTGTCGAAGCTCGGGACGCGCGGGTCGGACGACGGGGCCCAGACAGCCCCACGCCTGGACACTCGCGAGCACGGGGGCCGTCCTCCTCCTCCTCCTCCTCCTCCTCCTCCTCCTCCCCCTCCTCCTCCTCCTCCCTCCCCTCCTCCTCCTCCCCTCCTCCTCCTCCTCCTCCTCCTCCTCCTCCTCCTCCTCCTCCTCCTCCTCCTCCTCCTCCTCCTCCTCCTCCTCCTCCTCCTCCTCCTCCTCCTCCTCCTCCTCCCTCCTCCTCCTCCTCCTCCTCCTCCCCCTTCCCCTCCCCCTCCCCCTGCTCGGCCTCCAGGGGCCCTCGCAGGGCTCCAGGAGCATCGAACAAAGGCTTCGTTGGAGTCGAGCGGCCCCCACCCGAGGACGCGGGGCGGGACACCCAGGGGGGGCACACCGGGCCCCATGGAGTCCTGTCGGCCGCGGTCTGCCATCCTTCGGCGAAGGCTCGAAGAGAAATGCCCAGGGAACACCGGGGCTCCTGGAGCCTGGCGGCCGCGGTATGCAGGGTGTGCGAGGCGGGTCGGGAGCTCTTTGCTCACACCCAAGCCACCGCAAACCGTCGTGGGGAACGACTCTGGGTGAGAAGCCGGCCCTGCAGGTAAGGGTCAGGACTTCCGAGGCTTCTGTGCTGAAAAAGGAAGACGTCGGCTCTCTAGCAAAGGAGAGGGTTAGCGGAACGGCTCATGTAGCTGGTGACTCCGATACCTAGGCGCCAAAGATAAGAGGGAAGCGCCCAACGGCGGGCTCGAAACCAGCCGCATGCAGTCAGTTTCGTACCCCACCTTTCCAAATCCACCCCCTTCGTCCGACCCAAGATGTCTGGCCGTATGGTGAGGAGGGACTCGTCGAACTGGCGCCCCGTCGAACAGATCCGCCACCATGCACCGCGGCACGCGGTGGAGTGTCCTCAGGTGGACCTCGATCGGTCTCAGCGTATTTGGACTGTTCAGACGAACCAGAGACGCCAGGGCCAGAGATTTCCTGTGGCCTCTGGGGGCTCCCTTGGGCTCTTGCTCTTGCCGCACGACTCTTCCAGAGAACTCGGAACCGCGGTATGGCCCCCGTGGCTCGTCTTGAAGGTCACTTGGCCGTCTTAGGGCCTAGGGCGTCGTTCGAATTCAACGCACCAGATGATTTTATTAACTGATCAACTTTCGTCTGATGCCAATATTGTGCCGTCTGTTCGGTCTTAGGGGCGTCCAGGACGGCCAGCCAAGCCACCACGTTCGCTCCAAAGAGGAGCCCAAGAGGCCTCCAAGACGGCCCCGCAAACGGGCCCAAGGAGGGTCCGCGAGCGAATCCCAGCAGACACTTGGGAATTCGTCCCCAAGATGACATCCAGACCCCCAGAGGACCCACACAGGTTCCCCCAGAATCCCAGAGGCCCCCCCAAAGGATCCCGCAAAGGTCCCCCCCAAAATACCCCAAGAGGCCCTCCGGATTGCCTCCAGGTGATGTCCAGCAAGTCCACAGACGCCCCCGAGAGTTTCCCAAGAGACCCACGTACAAGGAGTTCGCAGCACCTTCAACAACCATCGGGGCTATCCAAGGACATGGCTTTGAATACGTTACGGCCTCAAATCCTTCCCACATTGGCCTGGACCAGCAGCCCAGCCACGGTGGCGGGGGGCCGAAGGCCGCTGGATCCGCCGCCCCCGTAACTTGCAGGAGGGGCGCTTGGCATGCCAACTTTGAAACTGATTGTTGGCCTCTCCCAGAAAATCCCAAACGAGCTTCGGCCCGACCCGCTCGCCACCCAGAAACGCCCAGACAGGCCGGCAACGGAGTGTCTCCAACTACTGTTCTGCCCCCCCAAGAGGGTCTCCGAATGGGCCCTGGACCACATCTATATCCGCCCAAGGTGGCTTGAGCGGCCTCCATGTGGGCTCAAGATGCCTCCAAGACGGCCCCAGATGGCAACAAGACGGCCCCAGAGGCCTCCAAGAGGCCCCAAGGCCCCAAAAGGTCCCCCAACGAGGGCCCCGGCAGGCACACATGATTTGCAACATAGATTTGGCAACGACGTTCGGGTTCAATCCCTTTCGGTCTTCAGAGCGCCCAAAAAGTGTTCGACGATCTGCGAAGCACAGCGCGCGTGGGAGCGGGGAAAGGGGAGGAGAAGAGAGAAGGACCCGCCAACCCGAGGTTTCCGCAAGGGACCCCCCCCCAGGCCCCCAGCCGCCTCAGCCCTCAAAGGGGCGGCGAGGGGCGCCACCGAAGGGTGGCGAGGGTGGCGGGATTCGCTCCCAGGGCCGCCAGGGCCCAAGAGCGTCCAAGGACGGCACGAGAGGCCTCCACGATCGCCACCAGTGCGGCGCCAAGGCGGCCCGAGAGCGCCCCAAGACGGCCCAGGGGGGCCCCCCAAACGGCCGCCGAAGGCGCCAGGCGGCCCAGAGGCGCCCCCAGACGATCCAACATAGAGCCACAGGGTGGCCCGAGAGGTCCCCAGGGAGCTCTCGAGAAAGCCCAAAACGTCAGACAAAAACCCCAAATCAGCCTCACGACGGCTCCGGAAGACCCTTCACCAATATCTCCCCAATGGTTGCCGCGACCGACGTAAAACGCAATCCACAAGCATGGCTGGACTTCCGGCTGATATTTCACCACGCAGGCGGCTCCAAAAGGCAGAGGGCGGCGGTGAATCGCCAGAGGCGTCGTCGATAGAGCCGCCCATGGCAACGGACCCCCGCCGCAAGCAGCATACAGCCCCATCGTAATCACGTTGTGCGCAGGACCCCGCTCCCCTTTGGACCAAAATGATTGCAGAAAGAAGGACGGACGGAGAAGAAGGGAGGAGAAATGGAGGAATGATGATGATGATGATGATGATGATGCTGATGATGATGATGATGATGATGATGATGATGATGATGATGATGATGATGATGATGATGATGATGATGATGAGTATGGTGATGACAATAATGATGATAATGTTGATGCTGATGCTGATG